ATTTATTGTAGAGATGAGGTCTTGCCTGCCCAGGCAGGTCTCGAACCCTCAGGCTCAGGCGATCCACTCACCTCGGCCTCCCAAAGCGCGAGATTATAGACTGAGCCACCAAGCCCGGCCCTTTTTTTGTTTTTAAGTTGGGGTTTCACTCTGTCATCCAGGCTGGAGGGCAGTGGCATGATCATGGCTCACCAATAGCCTCGACCTCCTGGGCTCAGGCGAACCTTCCACCTCAGCCTCATGTAGCTGGGACTACAAATGTGCATCACCACACCCAGCTATTTTTGTCTGTCTGTAGAGACAGGGTCTCACTATGTTGCCCAGGCTGGTCTTGAACTCCTGGGCTCAAGCAAGCCTCCTGCCTCAGCCTCCCAAAGTGCTGGGATTATAGGTGTGAGCCAATGTGCCCAGCAAGGGGGGAGGACATTCTGGTGGAGAAGGCAACGTGGCAGGATCTCTTGGTTCGGGCAGCGCTGGCAGGGGAAGAACCCCCAACAACACCCCTTTCCCGAGTCTCCTCAGCCCAAGGTCACTCGAGTGCCAGGATTCTCAGGTTTCTCTCTTCCACCCCTGAAGCTGAGGGGGAGCAGAGACCTGGGCCTCTTTAGGTTCTACCATGTGAGTGACCAGTGGCCAGAAGACCTGACAAGATGGCTTCCCACTGATTTGTTCAGAACCAGCCAGAAGACACCAGGGTCTTCCCAGATCCCCAGCCTGTCCAGCCAGAAACAGAAACAGCAACCAAAGCTTCGGCTTTGTGTAGAGTTGGCTGCCAGTCTCGGTCTTCCTTGCTGAGTGACCTCGGGCTAATTAACTTCTCTGAGCCTTAGTGCCCTCTTCTGAAAAATGGGCAGAGTAAATACCTACTTGCAAGTTGTTTTAGCAAGAGAAGTGATGACACGATGGTGTGCCACAGTGGGGACATCCCCTGCCCCGTCAACTCACCAGAGCAAGTTAAACTGGCAGAGTCCCCCCCAGTGGGACCGCGCGCTTGGTAAAGGAGCAAGCCGGCCGCCTAAAGCTGTTGGGACCAGTCAGTGCTCCAGCCTCTACGGCCTGGGCTTCCAGAAGGTCAGCCTGGAAGGGGTGGAGTGGACCCAGGAAGCACAAGTGTCTGCCCTGCCCTAGCCTGACCCAGGCGAGAGCCAACCACAGTGTCCCGGTTCTCGCGGTACCTGCCTTTGATTCCCTTTCATGGCCTCCAAGGCGTCATGAAGGGCCCGGATGTGTGTGACCTGGGACAGGCCCCTCTGAGCCCGTCTCCTCAGTTCTAAAACGGGCACACCATGGCCCTGTCGGAGGACTGCTGCCCACAGAACAGCTGTCGCGTGGCTTCATAGCGGGAATCGCAGCTGTCGGTGTCTGTCTGCCTCCTCGGCCGACGGCGTCCAAGTCCCTTCGGGGGCCCTGGTGTCCAACTGAGGCCTGGAGGAAGCGGCCGGGCTGCTGGACGTTGAACCTGGACACGGGCCCAGCGGCCCCCGGCCGGGGCTGACGGGGCTCCGGGAAGGGGCAGCTGGGTGGACGGGGAGCCCCACAAAGCCACCCACTTTCCAGAGGTGCTCCCAGGCCGGGCGGCAGGGGCCCCACTAGGGAGCCTAGGTGGGGGTGGGGGA